GAGAACTTGATAACACTGATGAACCACCAGAGTCAAAACCAGCTGCCAGCGCTGTCTCTGTGAATGACTTCTGTAGAAACAACACAAACAGGAAGTGCTGTCCTTGAACTCTTTTATTGTATTCACTGATTTGACCCATCTAGTGTCAGACAACAGAACCTATAAATACATAAAAACAGTAAGCATAGCAAATAATGCTATTGCCATCCTGATCATTCTCAGCTGTATATTTTATTTTGTCTTTGGTATAACTGTCAAGATAGATATTTTGTACATACTGTTAAGCCGGTCAGCTTTCAAGGTGTGGAGGACCCCAGAGGCAGTGTAACAGACAGCCAGTAGACAGAACTTTACTTTCAGTTTCTTTTAGTGAATAAGGTGATAGTGCATAAGCTCATGATGTGGTGTGGGGGTGAAGGCTGAGGACTAGGAGAGGGTGAAGGCAGCTTGGTGGTGTGATGCTCACTGGTGACGAGTGGAGGATCCGGGAACACATGTCTCAGAGGGGCAGGCAGGAGGGTGCAAGTCCAGAAGACAAGAGCTGGGAGGCAAGAAAACAGGGCACAGGAAGCAAAACAGGACAGCAGGTAGGTAGTAGTGTAAGCACAAGTATGTCACATACATGACTAACGAACTGGAAGGGGGGAGACGCCAGAGCTCTGGTTAAGAGCAGTGGTGGTAATTGCATGCACCTGTGCCAGCGAACGCACCTGGTTGCTTGTCCTAATTGTCGGGTCGGGGAGAGAAGCATCTCTCAGCTGAAGACCCTACACATATTTTTTTATTTTGGGTGAGGCTGACATTTTGTTTAATTGTTTTATTGTCAGAAGCATGGTTAAAAGGAAGCCCCAGGGCTTCAAAAATCACTTGTGTCAGCTGTGCTCTTGTGTGTCAGCATTGATAGTACTCACACACACACAACCTGTTTACGCCCCCGGCCCTAGTTCCCACCCTGGCTCACAGATTCACACCCCAGCAGAAGACTAGTCCACAATGCACCGTGACAAAGGGAAAAAGCTGAGTGCAGGATATAAGGCTGCCACTGGCTCCCAGAATGTGTACAGCACAGTGCATTCTGCAGACTGCAGCAGTCTGAGCTAAACCCCCCTCTGTCTGCTCACTATAAATGGGACCTGGCAGGTGGGGTCATCATTAGTGCATGTAGTGACCAGGGTGAAACTGGGAGGCTTTTGCTTAATGAAGTTGATGTAAAAGTATAGCTTCACAGCCAGATGAACAGGAGCTCAGTTCTTTTTTCCCAGCACAATGAGTGTGTGACTGATATTCCCAACCTTTAAGCTGAATCTTATGACTTCAATACCGGATAATGAAGGGGGTCTCTGTGCTGGCATTTAATAAGGTGTCTGAGGGAGGGGCAGACGCCAGCTGAAAGAGGCACAGTGACAGTTTACTACAGATACAAATTGTCAAACCAAGCTCTATGGCCTGGACCAGCACAGTAAACACCCTGGTGCTGTTACAGTAGGTACAGCATTATGGAAACTTTGCTACTGAATGCAAATGCATTCCAAAGAACAAAAAAATACAACTTAAAGGCCGAAGACACATTCACATACTAGTCACAGTAACTAACATACTGTACAGTAGCAGGTCCCTTCATTTCCTCAGGACACTTTACAAAGTATGGTCTAGACCTTACTATTATTACTATTATAGAGGAAAAACACAACAAATCCCTCTTGAGCAAGCACTCAGCGACAGTGGGGAGGAAAAACTCCCTTTAACACAAGAAACCTCTGACAGACCCTGGCTAGCTCTTATAGTCTGATATCAATTCTTCTTCCAAATTTGTCCAGAAATGCAAATCTTTCATTGCTACTGCAGATAAGCTTTGATCACTTCATTTACCTGAAGGAAGGGCTCTTGTTTGTGACATTTTATGTGTTGTTAAATATTAACATACTTTTCCAGATGCAACATTTTCCCATTTTCTTTCCCCTTTTTATAAATCGAGCAGTTGCAGGAAGACTGATGACTGAACTGATCTGAGGTGACTGACAAAAAGATCTAAAAATGCAGCGACTATTGTAATTATAGGCTCAGTTCAACCTTTATGAGATTGCTCTGTAAATGTCATAAAACACTAGATTATCTGAGTCTGTTTTTCAAGTGATAGCTGCAAAATATGGAAATCATTACAAAACATCATGATGCGCTTCCAAAACCAGCTGAAGTTGTATTTCACTAACAAAGAAGAATGTTTTGTAGCTGTGGTCCTCACCCACCAGTACCCCGTGTATATTCTGGTCAGTGTGACCTACTAAAAGATATTTATATCCCCCCACCACTTTTTTGAGTCATCTCTCAAGGACTACTATGCTATTTCTGTTTAGGTTCTTGCTCATTCTCTATCTCTCCCAACCTTTCCCTAAACTAGTTGCTGGAGGTCACCCTGCTGTGCCAGTTTAAAATTATATAATAATTAGACAGAATGAAACCAGGACAGCAAAGAGCTGTGGCGCCTCTATGGTGCAACATGACTCTCTGAGCTCATGGGATGAGGATCATCTATAGGTCTGAGCAAAACATTTCATGAGAAGAAGGCAGACAAATCTGTGAGTTATGACCAGTCAGATAACATTTCAGATGTTGAACCCTGGAGAGGTGTTAACTCCAGGCAAACCTGGACAATGAGCAGGACAATGAAATGCACCTTCAGACCGCATAGGACCTCAAGGGTACACTGCAGAGAAAGGAGCAAGAGTGGGAGCAGACAGAGAGCTCAATGAAGGCTCAGCTGGAGCAACACAGAGCAGAGACCAGAAAGATGGAAGCTGAACTCAGAAAGGCAGAAGGTCTAAAGATTGATAATCTTTTCTTGCAAAAGGAGAAAGCCTCCCTGCTAGACGAAATTGAGACATGCAGAGCCTCCACTGAGTCTGTGCACAAGAATCTACTGCAGGAGAAGAACGATCTCATGGCAGCACTAAAACACACTGAAGAACAGCTTGAGTGTTGCCAAGTCCAGTGGCAAGGAGAGAAAACCTTCTTTGTTGGTCAGCTGAGCAAATATAAAGAGCTCTCTATCATCCAAACGAATACTCTGAAGAAGGCTCGTATGAAATTTGAGCAGGACAATGAAATGCACCTTCAGACTGCACAGGACCTCAAGAGTTCCCTGCAGAGAATGGAGAGAGGACAGAGACCTATTTGAGTGCTGGACAAGCAAATTAAGAAAAGACTTGATCTGCCAAAGCCAATTTTGTTTTAAAAGTGTATTCATAGGGGCGGCACAGCGGCACGGTGGTTAGCACTGTCGCCTCACAGAAAGAAGGTTCTGGGTTTGAGGTTAACGATCTCATGGCAGCACTAAAACACACTGAAGAACAGCTTGAGTGTTGCCAAGTCCAGTGGCAAGGAGAGAAAACCTTCTTTGTTGGTCAGCTGAGCAAATATAAAGAGCTCTCTATCATCCAAACGAATACTCTGAAGAAGGCTCGTATGAAATTTGAGCAGGACAATGAAATGCACCTTCAGACTGCACAGGACCTCAAGAGTTCCCTGCAGAGAATGGAGAGAGGACAGATACCTATTTGAGTGCTGGACAAGCAAATTAAGAAAAGACTTGATCTGCCAAAGCAAAGCAAATCATTAAACATGTCTAAAAGTAAGGGTGATAAAAGATTAGAAAGCTGTTTATAAGCTGATCATGTAATGAAGAAAGAGCACTCAGCTGTATATCAGTGCAAGAGAAGCACACCTGTTTGTTTTTCTTTTCATGAGTAGACTAATGATGGAGTTTTTGTTCCGATTTTCACTGTTTCATTGCTAATGGTTTTGCTGAAGTATTTATAATTAGGACAGCAACACACACTAGCAAAGTAACTAGTAACTAATGTTACTAAATAATGTATTAGAATAAAAAGTACAATATTTGCCTTTGAAATATAGTAAAATCAAAGTAGGAAGCAGCTGAAAATGGAAAAACTCAAGTGAAGAGAATGACTTAATAATGTATGGGGGTGAAAACCGTGATGCACAGAATCATTAAACATGTCTAAAAGTAAGGGTGATAAAAGATTAGAAAGCTGTTTATAAGCTGATCATGTAATGAAGAAAGAGCACTCAGCTGTATATCAGTGCAAGAGAAGCACACCTGTTTGTTTTTCTTTTCATGAGTAGACTAATGATGGAGTTTTTGTTCCGATTTTCACTGTTTCATTGCTAATGGTTTTGCTGAAGTATTTATAATTAGGACAGCAACACACACTAGCAAAGTAACTAGTAACTAATGTTACTAAATAATGTATTAGAATAAAAAGTACAATATTTGCCTTTGAAATATAGTAAAATCAAAGTAGGAAGCAGCTGAAAATGGAAAAACTCAAGTGAAGTAAAAATACTGTATACTTAGTTTCCACTATTATCAGGTCAACAATTTTAATTTTTCCAGTGCATGTTTATTATTAAGTATCTGCAATACTAGTGTCATTTTTGTCAGCTTTTTCTAATTAGCAACTTACGGCACGCTAACACTCGAAACTAAGATTGGGAACAGAGTAAACATTTTACATACTAAATTGGGATTAGGATACTCCTGACATTGATATAGTATTACCAGTTGTAACTATGTTTTTAAATGTATTATATATGTAATGCTCTTCATTTTTCTGTTTATAAAAAATTATTATTAATTTGTAAATCACCTGTATATTTCAGTGACCAGTTAACCTCTGCATGCGTCTTGTTCTCCACAGAAGCTAAAAACAGTCAGCCACAAAACAATATCATAGCAAGCAGCGCTATGTCATCTGTTCATCTACAGTACATCTGCAAAATAACAACAAAGCATACCTAAATGTACTTAACTTTTATTTGCTGAATCCATTTCACTGAGACATATTTTTAAAAATAGACAGTTAAACTTCAAACTTTAACATTAAAAATAAAAGTAACAAACATAACAGCAGGAACGAATGACAATTTCATTAATAAAATAAAATAAAAAGAAGTTTAATTTACTTAGAATAGAAATGGGATGACATCACAACATGCTATTTTCTAAAGCAGTTTTAAAAACCTAATATTTTTGTAGCAGGCCTCTCTTTTTTCAATGTTACAATTTCTGCATGGTCCCTGCGCACTCATCTCCCAGCGGCTGCACAGTGAGACCAGTGTTATTTGTGTGGAGAAGAGGACAACTCATTTTCATAAAAATGAGCTTGTAGCGTGTTATATACATTACTATGAAACAGAACAGGTGTTGTTTTTGTTTTAGAAAGGTTTTTCTTATGACTTATTGAATCTGTGAATATATTTCCAGCTTTACAAAAGTCAGCCACCATAACGCACCAATATCAGCACACTGACCGACAGCTTTGCCTCCTCTGTGTTTCAGAGCAAATATGACACTTGCACGTAATGTGAGCGTTAGATCGCCTGAGTCCCTCTCAGTCAGTCAGGCACATCATTTTGATGCATGACTTCACCTCTCCAAAGATGATGCACAGGGTTTGCTCAAATGTTGGTAAGCACATTTCTGTCCTCCCACAATACTGGTCCCTACCATCCATAAGCAAAACCCAATGTGCAAAACCAGCCTCTGGGTCTTCTGAACTTTATTACTGAAGCTAATTAAAACGCTTACTAAAATAGAATTTAACAATTACCACTGCAGTCTAATCAAGATGAAATTTTACTGCTTAAAACTATTATGTCCATTATGTTAGCCAGCAGTAAGAAACACTGTTTTTCTTTTATGCACATTTCAGTGCAGTGAACGATATTAATAATTTGGCAATAATGCTTATTGACTTAAAATGAACTAATAGCCTGTATACCATAAGCATGTCTGTACATGTCTGGAAATCATTTAAGTGCTGCAGAGTTAGAGAGCTTTTGTCCATAAACAATAGGCTCTTGTTAGTTTTACAAAAAGGAACTTCAGTCTGTAAAAGCAGATTTATCCCAAAAAAGCATTTGCTGTTTGTTAGTGAATAAAACACCTACAGTGTATTTCCTCCACAGGTTTGAAATTGTATTGTATTTACCGTATCCCAGGAGCAGTAGGATTCTGGGATATGTTATGTCTCCCACATACCTCAGAAATATAGCTCTTCCATTTTGCTACCAGGCGCATTAGGTAAATGAAAGGCATACAATACAGCACATATGTACCAGCAGCTCCATCTAGTGGAAGATCTTGCAGATTATTTTTACACAATTTATAAAATGGTCATATTTGTTTTTGATATGCAAACCTCAGTGTGAATGTAGGAAAGAATTGATTAAATAGATCACGCTATGTAGGAGAGAATTATTTAGACATTTGATTAACAAACATTACTTCAAAACAATGAAGACCATTACATCTTCATCATCAGTGCCCTGTAATGACTTAAGTTTTAATTTTGTTTTGGGGTTGTTTTTTTTCAGTTTGATTAGTTAAAAACTAAGCTAAATTGCAGACTGTGGGGCTGATTATGGGACAGATAACAGCTACTACAGATATCAGCTGTGGATGAGAATGTAGTAGAGTTAAACAGAAATAGTCTCTGCTCACATTTCTAATGCCGCCATATGAACAGGCACGATACAAGGAATCTGCAACTTCCTCACTGACAGATTCCATCTCATTTCAGTTGACAAGAAGCAAAAATAGACCATCTAAGCTTTATGAATCACGCATACACTCTGACATCTAAGGATTTTATAATAAACTACACAACTGTCTAAAAGTGAATAACCACAAAGAAAGAAAGCAACAATAAAAGAGCTGATTGATGAACAAATCCGAGCTCAGGGAGACACAGGTGAAAGTTGTGACCCATGGTCTGTCTCGGTAGGAGTGCAGCCTCATCTGTGTCGACCTCTGTAGTCCCAGTGTCTATTTCTGTGACTGTCCTCCACTCCGGGTTGTAGGTTGAGCTATACATCTTGTTAACAGCAGCCTCATTTATTGATTAAGCTGAATTTAGAGCTCATTTATTGATCCAAATTATTGTACATTGGATAGGAATCAAGGCTCTTGGTATAGTAAGCATCTTAGACACCACAGTGCTTTAACTCGTTCATTTTGAAATGTTTTTTTTAATCAATCAAGAACACTTATGTTACATTTATTTGAGTATGAAAGAGATGTTGATGATGTTGTGTGAAATGGCTGGTTACTTTAATAAACTGGATTTTACACTAGCTTGTGGTTATTGGGCTTGGAATTATAGCGACACAAAGCCAGCATAATATGGTGCTGCTGTTTAGGTAGCTAATGCAGTCTGTGGGCTTCAAGGACTACTATCCCATATTCACCAATCCATGAGCATTTTGCCCCAGCTCCCACTGAAGTACTGCTTTTAGTTTGTAACTATTATCTGGTATTCCAGAGCCTTAATTAAATTATCAACACATTCTGGGTTTAAACAAGACAATTTCGGGTCACAGGTCACTCTTCCAAGGTAGTCAAGCTACACGAGATCCGCAGCATGACAGATTCTGCGTATGAAAGAAGCAAAAGGTTATTTCCAATCGGGAGATATTTCTAGTATAGTAAAATAGAATGAAATAATGACTGAGGGGCAAAAGATTAAGATAACATCAAATACCTTCATAAAGTATGTGTGAACAGAATTAATTCCCACAAACATGCAGGTTAGCATCTTCTTTTTTAATTAAATTCTTCTCATCTCAACAGCGTCTTTGGTATCCTAAATATTTAGATGCAGCAAATGTGACAAAAGATGTCAAACTTTCTTTTCTGTATTTTTTAGGCAGCAAGCTCCATTTTGCAACTATTCCCACTATATTCACCGTTATAAATGCATGACCTTTTTTCTAGCTTTTCTAGTTTAGTCCACTTAGGTGCACATGGCAAATTACTAAAAAGAAAAAGCTTCAGTTTTCTCATGTTTTACATAAAAAAACAGGAGTAGGACAGGGGACAGTTCAAAATCACAAAATCAGACAGAAAACACAAAACACAATGCAAACTAAACATTACTGAGTGTGGAATTAAGGGAATGTGAAAGAAAATGCAATAATATTTAAAGATCCTTGTGGCATACAGTATGCAAATACTGAACTGGCTGACTTAGGCAACAGGAATACCAAACAGACATATTTCCCTATTAAAACAAGAGGTGGCATGAGATCAGAGATTCAAATTAAGAACGAAAAAAAAAAAAAAAATCACAAAAATACACAATATAAATTTAAAAAAAGAGCAACAACAACAAATGTTCTGGAAACAATAATTACAAAAATATTTAATTAACAAACATATTCATTATCTGTATTGATTATTTCTTTACATATGAAAGAGGAGCAGACGATGTTTTGTACATTTCATACGATCCATTGATTAGGATCCCTACAGGAGACACACTTTTTTAGGTTCACTGTATATACACACAGTCCCATGTTTGTACTGTGCAGTGGAAATGTGTGTGTGGGGTGTATCTGTATGCGCTACATACTGAAGATAGGGATAATGACAGTGACACACAGACGTTACCGAGTTCTGCGACGGACACATATGTTCAGCCTGCGAGTAGGCACAAAGCCTTGTTTGCAGTTGCACTTGTATGAGCCGATAGTGTTCACACAGCGAGCGTTCTTGCACTGACTGACACGAGCTCCTGGCTCTGCACACTCATTAATGTCTGAAAATAAATGCATATGAACGTATCAATTAGTGTAAAAAATGTGCAATATTTCTTATGTCTCATTTAAGTACGTGCATGTTGGCTGCCGTGAATTTCTTAAAATGCAATAATTCACTCAAAAAAAAAAAAAGTGCCAATACAAACCTATACAGCGGGTGCGGGAGTGGTCCAGCCTAAAGCCTGTGTTACATTCACACATGGTTCCCAGGTAGGAGCGGACACAGTGGCCATTTGCACAGCTACATTCATCTGAATCCTCCTCTGAGCTGTCGCCTTTTATGGACAAATAGAGGAAAAGAGAAAATGTGGGACAACAAAAGATGAGTAAATAAGGAATGGCTGGGGGTAAATATAGCTTTCCAGTATGTCTGCCATGTGATTGTATATAATACAAGCAATCATAATGTTTGATTCTACCTGGGTTATAGTTAGCGAACACTGCCCGGAAATCCTGCTCCCCATCAGACTCAGTCTCCAGATGCATCTCACACAGGCGGGTAAACATCTCTTAACACAAAGAGTAAACATGTTTGTAAGTTGAAAAGAAAGAACGGGTTGTAGTTGGCAGTCAGGTTTTCAGGTTACTCACCTGAGTTTCTGGATGGACAGGTGTTGCACTCCGGCCCCCAGCCACGACCGTAGTGACAGCAGCACTCTGAGTAGGTCATGCGGTTTCTTGGCTCGCTGCAAAGAAGGCCCTCGTCAACCTGCAGAAAACATACATCCTTGTGGGCTGCAGTGCGATCTGGTTAAAAACAAAATAGAAAACAAATATGAATTGTTAATTGTAGTTTAAAGTTTAATTAAAAAAGGAAAATTAAGGCATGATCAAATTTACATAGAGTTTATTCTTTGTGCATTACAGTACATACTGTAGTAGAGGAAGGCACGTTCAGCTAGCCCTGAGCTCTAAGATTAATATCAGGTTGTCTAAGTAAAACAGTGTAATGAAAGCCAGTGGAAGGTGTTCACACACAACAATCAAACTATACAATATGTAAATGTGTTGCTTAATAAATGTCATTTCAGGTATATACAGCATATGGAACCACATATTTATAACAAGAAAGCCTTAAAATATATACAGCTTTTGGCTTTGAGCAAACTATCAGTTATCTGTGACACCAACATGATGGATATTGGCCACATGTTAAAATATCTCAGTAAATGTTACATGCAAAGGCTATCAAAGCCACATGAATATGCTTCAGTAAAGAAAAGATTTATAATAAATAGCAAGAAATTGCATATAATATCATCCATTTATTGTCTGTGTCGTATATGTTTAGCATGCTTCGGGTAACAGAGATGAGGAGCCTATCCAGTGGGTACCTGTACATCCTATAGCAACCATCAAACTTTGTCATCTTTATATCATACATGTTCCCTCTGTAAGAAACAAACACAGCTAAAGACAAAACCTCACTAAACCAACTTTATTGTTTGTACAGTATGGAGATCTGGTCATGCCACATGGAATTTCACACACTTTAAAAGAAGAAGTTACATTTTCACACTTACCATTATTAAAATTCACAAACAAATGTTGACGTTACCTCAATTTTAGTTCATTTAAAAAACAATATTGTATCCAGAAATTACTAAATCATACTTCAAGTCACTGCCATGTGCGTAGAGTAATAATATGGGTGTAATAACATATAAGTCTATCTGGTAATCATTGGAAATGACAGGCTGATCATCTCCCTGTAGCTTCTCTGTTCCCACTGACTGTAATTACACAAAGCATAAGATGATCACCTAAAGCAATCTCAAACGCTGGCCTAACTGTATACCCTTATTACAAATCTTTCATGCACTGCACCAACTAGTAATACACAGGTGCAGTGTTGTTTGGTTGACATAAAAGAATAACAGCGGGTGCATGGCTCACACCGATGATCACGATACTGTATGTTGACAGCTTGCTCTCACTAACAGCCTAATGTTGCACCCTGCTTGTGAATCAGTATGCTTCCTTATCTTCTACTGTTAGAGAGCATAATGTTGTTTTCTCACTGCTGGTTACAATGAGTCATACTTCAACAGTCACATAATGTTTATCATACCTAGTCATGACAGTCATTATTCTGTAAAACTGACAACAGGACTATTAAACAACTGTGATTCATATACAGTATCTTTCATGCAAAATTAACTCTAGTGAATTCAGGCCATTTCTCCACTAAATGAACAGTTTTCAAATGCTGAGTCTGTTTTTCCTCTACCAGGACAAATATTAGCATCAACAATGAAACAGACAAAAAAAAAGACACAAATAGCTTTTAGAGAAATAGACATGCACATACTCTGATACTGCTGATATATCAGTTTTTAATAACTACACAAAGTGGTATCTCCCCAAGAAATGAAAACTCTCTCTATAAAGTGGATAAGAGGGGGAATGGTAGCCTATAACATAGAGCCAGTACAGGCCAGTGTGTGGGATACAAATTTGGAGGAATTACAAAGAGCAACGTAAGTGGCAGATGTCAAGGTAAGCCAAAACTCATTTTGATCAGTCAGGCTCAGGTGAGCTGTCACTGATTTTACCCACCGTCATAGACGCACTGTTTTAGCGCTGCGCTGAAGGTGAGGGGAGGGTCGCAAAAACAGTGAAAGGAGCCGGGCGTGTTCTCACACCTCCCATTCTTACAGTATGAGGGGTCCTGGCACTCATTGACATCTGCAAAGGGCACCACAGACACTGGTTACAGTATGAACATCTGCTTGGGGCCAGCTCTTATTGTCAGGTGGTAGACACGCTAATAAGAACACCTGTGCAATTTAATTCAGTTCGGTACAATAGCCCTGAAATAAATACTCGCTTTGTGAAGGTTACAATGTTCGGTTTTGACTGAGACTGTATCAGAAAGATGTTGATTCAACTCTGTGGAATTGTTTAAGGTGTATTGTTTTACACTGCATTGCATTCTTAAGATTCAGCCTTAAAAAGTAGCAGCAAGTTGAATTAAAACCACAGACACAATCTCTAATAAAACCAAACAGTTTAAGCTTCGGGTGCATTGATATTGGTTTGGATATTAATGTTTACTATTCTATCTTAAAATGCTGCGTGCAACTTAATTCATGAACTTAATTAACCTGTAATACTAAAGAAAAAGTTAACTTTAGTCATGCATTGTGCTGCAGTTGGTCTCTAACATGCAACCACACTGTGCTATATGAAAAAAGGCTGCAGGGTAAAACAGGAAGCTTGGTTGCAGCAACACGTCAACTGAAGAATCTTTAATCTGTCAAGATGTTTGCAGGCAGTTTGCAGAGAAAATGAATGATTATGCCTTGTAGGCTAGTGTGGGCCATAATGTAAAACAGCTAAGGCAGTACAAGAAAAGCTAGAGTCACATTCATTTAGTCCCACAGTTTGAGCTTCACGACGAGTGCACAGTTATCATCAGTTCTTAGGCTTATTTGTGTCTATCTATCCATCAATTTTCTATTTGTTTATAATGTCATGGTTGTAGTGGTAACAGTGAGACCACAGACATCCATAACTTAAATTGCAAAGAGCACAGGAATAATCCAAAACTGAGATCCTGTTTGCATGTCTGAACACTAACAAAAGGAGGCTTTCCAGGTGCTCACACCATGTCAAGTGACTCCTTTCAATGATGCAGTAACTTGATATGGAGGTCCCTCTGAATCACAGTCACACTGTGGGAAATCTCATTTTAACTGCTGGTATTCTAACTTCAGTTCCTACACAAAGCTTATAGCCAGGTGAGGCTCAAAATAAGGACACGACTGTCCAGAGCCCATCCTTGAACATGCTCAACATAATAGCAAGCAGACAAAAAGAACATCAGTTTGCCTATAACTCCAGAATGCTGGAGTTCTGCCTATAACTCAAACAGATCAACAGAAGGTGCCATCTCTATTGCCTTCCACCCTGCACTCACCCACTTAGAGCAGAAGGGGACTTATGTTAGGATGCTGTTTAGAGACTACAGCTTGGCATTCAACACTACTGTTCACTGCAGGTTGGTAAATAAATTCCTCGACCTGGGCATCAACCAGTGCTTAAGCATGTGGATAAAGGACTTTTTAACAAACTGGCCACAAACTGTTAGAATTGGCCCTCATCTCCTCTGCCCTGACCCTCAGCACAGGCGCACCACAGGGATGTGGGATGAGTCACCTCTTGTTCTCTCTCTACACATATGATTGCAGACCCACATACTCCACAAACATGACCATAAAATTTGCAGACAACACTATGGCAGTGGGGTGATCTCAAACAGCCCCTAGAGAGAGGAGGCAATGAAGCTGACTGCATGGTGCTCAGAAAACAAACTAGCACTGAACACCAGGAAAACAAAAGAACTCATCACAGATTTCAGAAAGCACCACGAGACCCGTTCTCCTTTGGAAATCAACAGAGACACAGTGGTACCCAGGTACCCAGCTTCAGGTTTCTGGGAGCCCCCATCACAGAGAACCTCACATGGTCATTAACACCTCCTCACTGGAGAACAAAGCACAGCAGCGTCTCTATTTGCTGCAGATACTAAAGAAAAATAACCTCTGTAGGTGGTTGCTTGTGCCTTTTTATCACACAGTAGAGCGTGTACTTACATACTGTAAGACATCATCGACCACCCACTGCCCTCACTGGAGACTATATTCAGAACTCGTTGACTATATAAAACTGGCAACATTGAATACCACTACTGTGCAACAAATAAACTGTTCAAGAACTGTGGAAAATACAATGCAATAAGTAACCGTGCAATAATCCTTATGTGCAAAACTGTTACTACGGTGGATTTTTTACATAACATGTAAAAACCTGGATGTGCAATATCACAGCCTCGTGTTATATGTTCAGAATTAAGTGCCCCAAATGCAGGTTGGAGTTATAGACTGCCGTTTATTTATTTTTTTAATATCCTTTTGGATTATTTTTATTGTTGTATTACCTTTTTATATTGTTATATTACCTTCTATTAGATCTTCCTTTATTACCCTGTTTTATATTTTTTTTCTATCTCAAATTTTTAATACTCTCAGCGATGACACACAAGAAATCACACTGAACTAAGTGCAATGACAATAAAGATTCTGTTTCTGACAATTATTTTGCAGAAACAACATTCTGCACCCTGAGTGTAAAGGGAACAAAACAGCATCACATTTGCATACAACACTTACACCAACAAAGGTGCAATCCAACCACTCATGGCCTCTCAATACTTTGCCCTCACCGCATTTACTGCAGCGAATGCTTCAGCTGCAGTCTTGCTTTTCTTTAAACAGGGTGCAATTTAACTGTAACTACGTCCTCCACTTCTGGCCAAAATGGAGGAAAAGGTCATTCTTTTCCAGCAGATCAAAGCAGAAAACCCTGGCTCTGTGACTGCCTCTGTCTGGCCTGTCTGGTATCTGATGCTACTCAGTCGACAGCCCTGTGCATTTTCCATCCTTACAACCAGAACATGATATGCAGCTTTAAACAAAGTGGCCGTGTCAGAAATCGAGGGATTATTTGAACGTAAACGTATATTTGTCCTGGACAGACTGAATATCGTTTATAATGTTTGCGACTGGTGCACCAGCAATGCAGGCATCAATTACAACATCAACTACTCATTTACAGCGTATTAAGTTATAGAACATGTAAAGTCTGAGGTACCCTGTGTCAGGATATAAGTGGGATATTTTAACATTACATTGGTTACAGTCTGTGTATCTATTTTTACCATCACATCTACAAAATCTATGGAGATACAGTATTCTATTTTAATTTAATATGTTTATTTGTCCATTCTGCAATGAAGGCCTTAATTTAAACTGAATATTCTCATGTGGTTTACCATCATCAGCCAGCCATCACTGTATGTAAAAATACATGGGGTACTTTCAAGGTTGCAGCCCCCATCAACAATATGCTGCAAATTTCAGACTCAAAGTGATAATGTAAGATTAAAAAAAACCTGCCGCTTAAACACTTACTATATAGAACATATGCTTGACGTCTGTTGTCAGATCTGGTTAGAGCGATGACATCTACAAAAAGGTTCATAGAATCACCTTCTATGTACAACTTTCCACTGAAATCAGTTTTGCCAACATAATCATTTCTTTGTTTTGCTGTTACAAGAATAACCTGCTGCTGCCCACCACTGCCTTGTTGCTCTTCATAACTCTCCGTTTGCAGAGCGTCTGCACTCACCGGCCTGCTCCTCAGGAGTCACACAACTATTACGGTCAGTGGCCAGGGTCCAGGGCGGAGGGCAGATGCAGTAGTACGACCCTGGGGTGTCCACACAGCGGCCATTCTTACAGTTGGCTGGGTCCTCACACTCATTCACATCTGCACAAGGAAAAGGTCAACTCAATGCTAAAGATAATTCCTCTAGTCGCAGGATAAATGCAGAACAAGCAAATTGCTGCTTCTGTCAGGTACAGTGGGAGAAGACACATGTTTACTCACCTGCCACTGTTGCCATCACACACTTCTTCTTGTTGAAGTCTGGAGTCCAGGGCTGGTTACACTTACAGTAGAAGGATCCTTCAGTGTTGACACACTGGCCATTAGTACATTGAGACTCATCATGACATTCATTTACATCTGCAGAAGAACCATAAAGAACAACATGAATCACAGAACAGTTCTGCCTTTAAATACAAACAAAGCTTTTACAGCATTGTTTTGAGAACAGTATTTTTGAGGTGCCATTTTATGATGTGTATCGAATCACCTACCAATGCACTCGAGCAGGTTGCTGTCATAGTAGAAGCCCTGCTGACAGTAGCACTCGTAGCCTGGCATCGTGTTCTCACAGCGACCCTTCTTGCAGATTTCTTCCGCAAACAAAGAACACTCATCGATATCTAAAAACAAGAAAGGAAGCATCTCTTCTCAGTGCCACACTCACAGCTGATGAGGAGTGTTGTTTGACCTAATGAGGACATTTTATGAGTGACAACAATTATAAACATTTGACAGTGACAACATATTTCCAACAAGTACAAAGGTTCTGTTATAAATTCCAATGCTACTGTGATCATTACCACAAAATGGAAGTTTGGGTGCAAATGCTGGTATGTTGCTGTAGCATATGTTAATATGGTGACCCAAGTTATACAAAATATACCATGGTAGGCAGGCAGGCTGTACTGGAGTCTTTCTTCATAGTAGAGACCTTGACCATGTGGACACAGGAAGTGGAACTCGGCTGAGCAAGGAAGAAGAAACAGTACATAGGCTATAGATGCAGAATATGACATATGTTCAACATTTGGGTGACACTTTACTACTAAAGTTTGTGTTCTGCTTGTTCAACAGCTGTTTGATAAACTGCTCATACAGTCTCAGTTACTGGCTGATTGTTGCACTGTACAGTGATCCTTCACATCTTCTGCTCAGCTGTGTGTGAGAGGAGTGCAGCCCCTCCCTTCTCTAAACAGAGACCGACATGGAAAAATATAACGGAAGAGCAAAATAGGCATCAACCCGTGGCAGCAAGAAGCACAGGACGTACCCCTCGTTAGGTTTTGACAGTAGAAACACAGCTATACTGTGCATCTGGAACACCACGTCCTCGCGGACAGATTGTTGTGCTCAGAATGGGAAGTAGCTCCCTGCTAACAGAGCTAGCTTGGTCAGATAACAGGGCGCTCACATCTCTGAAAATGTCAAAGCAAATTCAAATTTGGAATTATATGAATAGACCGACCACATATTCTCAATCTAAGTGGTCACTTGTTGCCTGAAAAAATGTCAGAACTTAATCAAATGACATAATACCAGTCTTTTTTTAAGAATTATTTTTTATGTCTTTATTAATCAGTGCGTCGCATACACTATAGAGGCGGACAGAAAACAGAAGGAGAGAGAGACCTGCAACAAAGCTGTCGGCGGCCGGAGTCGAACTGCCGATGTCGAACCGGCCATGTTGCAGACCCCAGCTGGGCGCCCTGTATTACCAGTCTTATGGATGAAAATAACAGCTTTGAGCCTGGCTCAAAATCTCTGTCATTAGGCTCTCGTCCAGCTGTTGCTACACTGAGTAGATCTTTCCCCAGCCGTGTATGTAGTGGGAGTGTTGCAGGCATGTACTTTGGCCACAGGGGTGCTCACAGCACCAAAATTAAATTGTTCTGCGGGCCTGCTCTCCAAAAACCTTTGTCAAAATCCATTCATTACTTTTTAAGTTATGCTGTTAATAAACAAGCAAACCAACCATAAACATAATCCTTTCCCTTGGCAGAGGTAATTATCATGACCAAAATTCTCACATTGTACAGAATATCTTAGTAACTTTTTAATGTTAAAAAGAAATACAGACCATTTATTGATAACATATTCAACACAAATATGAGTTTACTGCATGCACACAGAGTGCAGTGTAAATGTACCTGACTGAGAGACAGGGCAGGGGTAGATCTCACAGTGATCTCCCCAGCCCACGCCAATGGAGCAGCAGCACTCTTGCTTGGTGACATTGGTGGCCAGGACACTATCGCAGAACACAGTGTCATCGAGGTTCAGGTAGCACTCCTTCTTCTCATCTGTCACCACTCGAAGTGCTGCAGAAGTAAGCATGGTGAAAGTTAATTTACATGACAATTTGGAGAACAAATCCAACACCAAGACTGGACCTCAGGCTCTAATGGTTTGTGACTTGGTTCATAAAAATATGGGATTTGGTCTTGCATGACCAAAGATTGTAATTGTTGGCTTACAGACCTTCAGATTTGGTTTAGGTTTGCAGAGACATGTTTTGGGTTTAGATACAGGCAGGGATCAAATGATTAAAGCTCTGGGATGATTGTGGGTGCACAGTAAAGCAGGAGGAGTCAGAGCAGGCTTACGGTCACAGCTGTGTTTATCCTCTGAGAGGACATAACCGTGATTGCAGACACACACATACGAGCCCGGTCTGTTCTCACAATATCCGTAAGGTTGGCAGAGACTTCTGTCTGCGGCACATTCGTCTATGTCTGAAAGGGAAATCACACATGCTCCCACAAGTCACACACAAGTATTTGTTCCTAACACCGTCTGAGTTATAAACAAATCAGTTTTGTTGTTTTTGTAAACAACTTTCAAATTTTAGATTTGTTCAGACTCCTTTTCACTTAAAATCCCACAATGCATTGTGTCATCTTTGAGAGATGCATAGATTACACCTGCCAATAATGATGCAAAATAATGATGGTTCATAAGCGCCCAATATTACAAATTAATGTCCACTATAGAGTAAATGATTTAGTATTGATCATGTGAATGAAAGAATCATTAAATAATGAGTGAATGAGAGAGTGACTCTGAACACAGGCCTTCTTTTGTTAAATTTATTTCAGAACTTTAAGACAAAAGACAACATGTCCAATTTTCTCAATCTTAAACAGTAAAATCGTCTTTTACAAGAAGAAATGCAAAGATGATGAACGGTTAAAGATAAGAATGAAGATACAATAAGCTTATTAAGACATTGCATACGAGTTCCATTACTAGTCGATATCAAACAGGATTGGTTTCTGATGATCTGACCATAAGGATTTGGAGAGACTGACCTTGGCACCTCCGGCCTCCAACTAGCATGTAGCCATTCTGGCACTCACAGTGGTAGGAGCCCATACTGTTGATGCAGTGGCCCCCCTGACAGTTTGACGACCTCTCACACTCATTGATATCTGACGGGACAGACGTAAAAACAGCGCTGGAATCTTAAGCACGTTTTGAGTATATTTACTTAATGATCTGTTTTTGACCAAACTGACCTCAGTGACTTTATTTGAACATGCCAATTAGTTATCGAGTGCTCCTAACACATCTTTGAGTTTAAGGTCATAAATAATCTCATCAGTTCCATGTGAACACTGTTTAAAATACAGGGATTGTTGAATAATTCATGCCTTCACAGTGGCTCCCTTCCTGTGTGCGCTGGTATCCTGGGTAGCACTGGCAGTGGAAGGAGCCTTCTGTGTTCATGCAGCGACCATAAGCACACAGCCTGATGTCCTCACACTCATCGATGTCTGTTTGGGAGAAAGACAAAACACAGTCTGTGGAAATCTGCAAATCTCGACTTCTGTGAAAAGTGAAAATGGGACAGGATGTCAGTTTGTTTTGAGTCTCATTTGATGTTCTAAAGGCTGAAAAGAAACCAGCAGCTGATTTACAGTGATTAGTCTAGGTAATGCCATGTAAAGGTTAGGTGAACATTACTTACCACTGCAACCTTTGCTGTCAGGAGATGGGAGGAAGCCCTCATTGCACAGGCAACGGTAAGTACCCGGGAGGTTCTCACAGCGCCCGTTAGGGCAGATACCAGACTCCAGACACTCATTCATGTCTAGTGAAACACAGAGCAAAGATTGGAAGAAGGACACGTTGTAGCAGCAGATACTGAAATTGATGATGTTGACATTTTTATCATCATTATAGTACAAATTCAGAATATTGAAATTATTTCATAATTTCCATGGCTGACACTAATACTAATATGTAGTATTTTACATTACTGTAGTATGTTACCTATGTCATGTGCATACCACTATTCTTACAAAGTAACTGCGATGTGTGATTAAGAGTAAAAAATGCTTTAATAATATTCTATCAAGATAAATATTACATATGACATGTTTCCACACATTTGAATGATATGCCCTGATTTATTAGCATATTTTAAGAAGGTATTCCCGGTACTGATAAGATGAAAGTACTGTGCACTGTACTAATGGGTACTTTTGTCAGGTTTTGGGCCTCTGATGTCAAGTGCATGAGGGGGAATCACTGTGACTGTTCACAGTTCAGAGGTATTTGTGCATTAACAGTCAGATGCTACAAATGGGCAATGGGAGCAGGTTAAGTTGATCCTGAGTTTTTAGCTGGATGAATGTGGTAAATTTTGCTGTACAGCAGGGTTGCACTCACCATAGCAGGTTCCAGCACGAACCAAATGACCAGGCAAGCAAGGAACACACTCATAGGAGCCTGGTGTGTTCTCACACTGCTCATTGGGACAGGTTTCAGGATTCAAACACTCGTTTATGTCTGAAATGAAAAAGAAGACGTTTACATACACAGGTTTAGATTTACACAACACAAGCAAGTGGAAAGCTTGTTCACCAATACCCATAATGTCATAATAATTGGCATCTTCGTACCTTCACAGGCTGAATGATACAACTTGCTCCTAAAGCCGCTGTGACATTCACATTTATAAGACCCGGGCAGGTTCACACACTGACCTCCGACACCACAAATGCCTAGCTTAGAGCACTCATTCACATCTGCAAAATATAAAGGAAAGAGTCAGCGCAGGATCTGAAAACTTACTGCTCTTCATTATTTTACCACAGAAATCACCCAGTTTGACTTACCTAAGCACTTAAGTCTCCCATGTTGCACCATGTGTTTATAGCCCTGACGACAGACACATTTGTAACCTCCGTCTATGTTGACACAATAGCCTCTACCGTGTCCACATGGCTCTGATGCACATTCATTGTCATCTAGACAATATGAGAGAAGAGTGAGAAAAGCAAGACAAGTACCTGATGAACAGTGTCGAACATCATAGACGCACAGCAGAGGGTCACAGAGGACAGAGCGCTCTGATTTCAGGGGGTGGATTTCATCACATACCCTAATATTATTGACAGTGTACGAGTCATGTCTTAGATCAAATACTTCTTAATTTATCAGAACCACTGACATACAGTGCATACAGCTAACCAAAGAAATCCATTTGTGCAACTCTAAAAAGACATGTCTGAGTTTACATCTCTACATTAATATAAAAACATAATCAGTGAAAACTGTAATTAAAGTTTGGGCTCAGTCTCATGGGCATTTTTAGATTTAGAGACGGTTTAAAGCTGTCACTGAAACTTAGTATTTCATTAAAGTGAGGTTCACATTTTCATAAATGCCTTTTACGCCTTTCTTGATCCCACGTTTTACTTATGGAGCCAGATGATGACTTTAATTTTTGGCATTGAAAGGTAAATCTGAACTAGTAAAGAAAACTGGTATTGTAACACTTATATTGAAAAAGGTTTCAGCGATGAGAGTTTGCTAGTGACATAGTCTTTCAGTCACCTCTGTTTATTGAACTGTGAGAGGAAAATGTATAATAACAGAATGATTTCCTGGAATCAGACGACTAGTGTTTAAAAGGGGATCTTCATGCATAAGAAACCTCATGAGAAGTTTCTTGTCATTTTGTAGCACAGTCTAGCCCCTGCACCTCCTCTTACCTCCGTCTCTACCATTGTTTCTTACCCTCACAGATGTTCTTCTGCGGGTTGAGATGATAGCCGGGGTGACAGTGACAGATGTGGCCATTCAGGTTGTTCTCACACTCTCCATGACCACAAATGTTCCTGTTCAGCCTACATTCATCTGTCTCTGCTTCAAGGAGGGAATACAGAGTGGACCAGCTTCATATGTATACGTGCATATGCATCTGGGCATACAGGATACAGTATATATGGCCATGTTCATACTATTAAAATTTTTTAATTTCCTCTGACATTTTCATATCAAATCCAAAATTAAAGGAATTTCTTGAAGAATACTTTTGAAAAATCAAAAAATGAACACAAAAGACAGGTTTTGCAGACCAGAGTCACAATAAGAAAGCATTAGAGGCAAAACAAGGACCACTGCAGTAATGAAAGACTGTGGGTGATCATGGGCAGCTATTATCATCATTATCTAAGTGTGTATCACATATATTGTTTACCAGCTCAAAATGCAGTTACAGAATCCCTGGTTCCCATAAATCATGAAGAGTGTGACCCATAGCCTTTAAGGCTGGTTCATGCTTCATGGCTGAACCGTCAGTTAACCATTAAATAAGCATGCATCTGACTGGATTGAATCCAATTTCATTTCATTTATTTCTGTTTATTTCTACCAATGTAGATTGTCTCCTGTGTATGCACTCATAAATTAAGTTTACTGCTTTGAGAAAGTCAACATGTCATTTATGTGATGGAGCCAAAGCTCAACAAAACATCTATTACTGACAAATGTGAAGGGCTGGGCTTTGTAGTTTTGAGGTGCAAGAAGCATGAACCAGCATTTTCACTGCAAAGTTAATGCAAAATAGATGTTTGAGTCCATTTGATGTTTGCAGGGAACTCACGTAAGACTTTTGTCTGTGTTTCGAAGGGGACATTGCCTGGGGTCATTCGGACGATTGTCGGAGGGGTGGGTTTAACAACTGCGAAGCCAACAGAAGAGAGATCAAGTGGACCGACTTTAGGAGGAAATAGGACATGCTGAACTTTATCCTAGTCAAGGTTGCAATTAGCCACAAAAAAGAAACCGTTCTCATGACAGTTGAAGTGCCAGTGCATTTTCCACAGACTTCTATCACTGGAGTTTGACTCTGACTGGTGATGGTGAAGGTGTGTTTACCTGGTACACGAGGACTGCTGGTGCTGGTGGCAACCTGCTGCACAGGGGTTGTAGTCTCTGGAGGCCTCTCCTGATTGCAAGAGAAAATTAGATTTCACAATGGCAAAGATAACCAGATTTTACTACTATATTAAAAACAGAAATCGTGTCTTACCGTCCATTTTGGTTCTGAAAGGAAAAGCGATAGAAGATTTTTACAACTGAGAATTCACTGTGGTGTGAACATCGCATGAATAAAAGTGTTTGACTCACTCTCCTTGAAAGGCTTGTGGAAAACGATGGGAGGGAAGACCACAGTTTCTCTTATATTGTGGAAAAAGTAGCCTTTCCCAGCAGGGCAGATCTTACTGAAGGCCACTGAGCAGAACATACAAAAGAGAAGAAGATTTTACTGTTACTTTTTTCAAGATACTAGGCTGGTTTGCCAAGAATAGCTATTATCTTATCATTCAGAGAGGGGTGGGGGCTGGAGTCGATCCCAGCTCGCACTGGGTTTGAGGTGCGACATATCACCAGTCCATCACAGACCTTGAATGTTTTGGTATTAATATCTTTTTTCAAGTAGGCCAGTTTTCTCAAAATCATATATCTTTATATTTCCAGGTTCCTACTTTAATAAAGGTCATCAAAAAAGTGAGATGCTCTTCTCGCTGGCATTAACGTGCACTCGAACTGTCTCCGTCCACTCACCTGTGCCCACCTGAGGACATCTTTCACAGTTATGGCCCCAGGCTTTGCCCACCGTGCAGCAGCACATCTCCTGGGTGACGTGGGTCAGAAGCGCGTGCTCGCAGCCCCTGGCCTCGGACACTATCCGGAAGCATTGAGCCTGCTCAGCTGGAGACTCTGACGGAGGAAACAACAGAGTTTCATTTGGGAATGATCTGTCTTAGCTGAATAGATGAGAATCCACTTTTGGAATGAAACTTTAATGCAATTTGAGTGAGTACTGAGTGAAAAGCCGAGAAAACATACGTAGGCCTTTAACTCACCAACACATCGATTCCTGTCCAGCACCAAACCAGCCTTGCAGGAACATTTGAAGCTGCCCAGTGTGTTCAGACAGTCCCCATTCTGACACACACCCTGCATGGAGCACTCGTTGATATCTTCAAGGCCCATGAGGTGGGGGTGTGAAAATGAAAAGCTTGTTTTGATATGTTGTAAAGGATAATATCTATTCTGTAGACAAGGGATACTGGAGGTTTGAAACTGAAGTTTTAACAAGTACATAAAAACTCCTAAAGTCAGCTCTTAGCTCTGATTTGCCCTTGTTATAAACTCCAGCCACTGTTACCTTGACAGTGAGTGTTGTTGAATCTTTTATATCCTTGCGGACAGGTAGAGCCATATTCTTCCACAATGGTCTGTTTGACCGGTGGATCTGAGGAAGGTGAGCAAAATAGTGTTTATGGAATGAGAAAATACTGTAGGCAGATGCTTAATACAAATCAAAAGAGAACTGTAAAAGGCCTACACTATAGTCTAGCTCTAATAGAAGTCTGAACAGATTTATAGCCAGTGGTATAAATCTTCTCATCAGTATGTGAAAAAGCATGTATTAAAACTATTCATTTAACATTTTGTCCAAGATATTCTTTGCTTCTTTCTCTTGCTTTTTTATGACAACTTTTTATGAGGCCTTTGATGAAGTGTAGCTTGTCACACAATAGACTGAGGAGGTTTTTCCGTGACATACAGTCTCATAACAATGCATTATTCTTGTTCTTACCCTAAATGAACCTCGAACCATTAACACAGAAGAATGCTGGAGTTTTCCATGTGGGAGTAACAACATGTAAGACAGTTTTATTAGAGTGCTGTAGGAAGACTGCACTCGCACAAACATTGTGAAAGCACAATGAAAACAAGGGCAAGATCACAGCTCTCTTCTGCCATTTTCATTAAAAAGGAGCTTACAGGTGAACACGAATGTAACAAAACAGACAGCGCTCCCTCCAGTTGTCTAAAGATTAACCAGAGGTTTTGTCATAGGCCACGTTGTCTGAGTCTGAACCGAGAAACGGAGTAACAGAGGAATGGAAAAAATGCGAGTGGCCAAGATTTTCTCGAAATTCACTCTTCAGCAATGTGATGACAGTCCTGCACTGGGCAGACCCATAGGAACGCGTTTAAATAGAGGGTTATTTTCCACATTCTCTTTCTCTCTGTGTGTAATTCCCGTAAGTTCTTCCGCTTTTTCCTTCCCAATGTTTCACACGCTCCCTCCCTCACCTTACTACTAACTTTCAGACATTCACACACATTTTATAGAGGACTTTCAGACATTCACACACATTTTATACATACACATAAAGTGATTGTTTTAATCCAGGGATACAATTTCATAAGGTCAAAGGTTTAAATTGCTAAATAAAAACTTAATTCCCAGGAACACACAGACAAATCAGACCAAAAACTTCCAGTAATTACTGTGAGTAGATAATTTGTTGCATGTTCAGTTGGATCACATCTGAACATGCAACATCTGGAAAAAGTCAATTAGAGCTGCTTGAAAATGTCGTAAATGCACCAAATAAAGCAGAAGACACTTCTTGAAATATACTGGAACTCACTTGGTAGTTTGGGGCACTGGTAACATTTGTTTTGTCCCCATGAATTTCCCACACTTGCACAACAATCCTCCTGATTGGTTAGAACAGGAAGTGGGGTGCTGTTGCACTGAAGCAAATATGAGACAGAGAAACGTTATCAGTGAAAATGAATCCAGACAAAAACATTCCATGACTGCCGCTTGTGACTAAACTCACAGCTTGTTTGGGTGTGGTCTCCTGGAAGCAGCGCCCCTTTGGTTTGTGTCTGGGTGGGGTCGGGCGTGGGCCTGTCTTGTGAGGAGGCTTATCTGACTGCTCATGAGGCTGAATGACAACGGAGGTGTCTAGTGGGTGGTGAACACGTAGATTAATCTGCACTGAAAATAGCGACAAGGTAGAAATCAGAGGAATAAAGTGTGTCACAAAATATCTTTTCACCGTCACTCACAGCCAACTGAGAGATGCAGAAGCAAATGATAGCTACCTTCTGATGAGGGCAAAGTGAAAACTGAGTGTGTTTGCATCAGCTGAGTGTGACCTGTGCCTGACTGGTCCACTAGTTTCTGGCCATCTGGCTTCAGTGAAACGGGGTAGACGGGCTGCTTATTGCCTCGCGCTGCCTGAGCTTGTTGCGTCTGCTGGAGTGGAAACTGGCAGAGTCGACCGGTGAAGCCGGGCGGGCACAGACAGTGCTTCCTCGAGCTGCATACCCCTCCATTCATACATGTCAGGGGACACACAACTGTAGAGACAGAAAGGAGAAGAGTTGAGATGAGCAGAGACAGCTTGTAGCTCTGAATCCCATCAGATGAGAGGAGGAGGAAAAACACAGTAGGTTACTAAGAAAAGTTAGAAGTATGTTCTGCTCAGAAACGTGTCAAATGCACCAAAATATTTAGTCATAAGTCTCATCAGGCTGAACTACCTGATCTAGGATCAGTTCACTTCATAGAAAAACCAAAATGCATGCGCTCAAGTGAATGTCCTGATGGTTAAGTTTCATAGAATATACAATATGGTAGATAGATCGAAATGATTGTGGCACGAGCAGGCCTGCATAAGATCGTCACTTTGAACTGCACCACTGTAAGAATCACATGATGGAGTAACAAGTCCCCCCAGCCAACAGCGTCTGAGGAGGAAAGCAGGTTAAGTCATTGAACTGTTTAACAGCTTCAGTCCGACATATGGGAAATCTTGGAATCTGTTGGAAAGCTGTTGACTAAAGAAAGGCTCATGGGATATACAGTATTCATGCAGTTTTACGGGGTCTCCTGTTGTGTTTCTCCAGAGTCCAGTTCTCTTTGAAATTCTCACAATAGAACAATCAGAGGAAAGAGAGAGAGGAGGTATGGCTATTGGGGAACATTTCAAGCAAAGTTATGAATCCAGAAAGAGATTGAAGAGAAAACTGAAACCAAACAATGCTACTAGTAGGACTATTATGACAGCTCTTTTACTACAGTTCCAGTCAAAGCTTTAGTCCAGTGCATTTTCACTATTCTCTCCGTTAGCCTCTTTTCCCAAGGCCTCATTTAATCTAATCACAACCTCCTTGTCAAATGCAGTACAGAGAATATACATCATATTTGCTCAAAATCACACTGTCTTTCAGCGCTCTGGAACAATCCTCCTCTTTCTCATTGCCAAAGCCGTGCAGAACATCATGTATTGCCTCAAGTCCTTCATCTCTCCATCAACTCTGCATCATCATATATTATTAAAATCCTGTGTTACAACTGTATGTGTTTGGTTTTTGTTCCTTTAATAATTACCACTTCAGGTTCTGTCACCACTAAGTAGTATCACAAACGTGCTCTTTAAACAGAAGTGAGTTTAGGAGAGAAAGTAGAGCTCCCTAATGTTTTTGTTCACTATAATGCATTTCAGACCACCCCGTGGATTCCCTGTGCAGTTTATTACCAGGATTTGATGATAGGTTCACATTTTTCGGTTGCTCTTTGTTGGAGTTGCCAAAACTGTGACACTGACCATCTGAAGTCCAAAAGTAAAATATGAAAAATACACAAAGGTTGGAGGAGAGAAGAGTGGAGACAAGAGGAAAAGCCTCTTTCTGCTACTGAGCCAAGTGCCCAACACATGGAAGTAATTAGATGCAAACTGCCAGGGAGTCTGGGTTACAGCATAATTAGGGGACTAGATCACTTTAAACACAGCAGGGACATCCTCACATAGTGAAAGTCAGGTAGAAAAATTAAAGAACTTCAAATGAAAGCAATGACTCGGTTCAAATACAGTTGTCATACTCTTTCCAAACCGGGTATCAATGACACCCCTGAATTGGCACAAGTACACTGGTCCTAGTCTGGGTGCTGAAATGGAACTGACACTGCCAGCATAGGGCTGCAATAACCCCAAAAGAAATAGTAAATTTAGCCCATACTGGTCCTAGTCTGAGTGCCAAAACCTAACCGACATTACCAGGTTTGGGCTGCAATCTCTCGTACAAACTCGCTAGAGCTGTCCCACATGTAAGCCTGGTGACAGCCAGTGTAGTAGCAACCCATCCAGTATTCTGCCGCAGCTACAACAATAGATATAGATATATAGATTACACATGTTTGTGTAGATTTAGTATGGAATCTTAGATCTCGAATTCTGTTAAGTTTTAATTAGCTTAGCATTTTTTTTCTTTTGGGGGGGTACTGTTTACATTTTAAGCAGTTTTTTTTTTTAAATTAAAATCTGTTAAGTACCCCACTTATCATCTTTCAAGTCCTGCACTCAACCCCCCTACCCCCGGTCACGGAACGAGACGCTCCCAAAAACCACAATGTAACTCAAACCCTGCTTGTAACCATGTGACAGTGGTCTTTCACCACTGCAACTTGATGCAGGCAGCGACATGCAGAGTCAACCTGGAAGGCTCAGGCACAGTAGGAAATAGTAGGTGAGCGGCGCAGACTGAAGACAGCCCGCGCAACTTTGTCAGACTTCCTCTGCCACAGTTTCCATGGTTCAGGTTTTGTCTGAGTGGTGGATTTAGAATGAGAGGAAAATGGGAGGGATGCGGGGGTTTGAAAACTAAGATTGCAGACACAGAAAGAGAGGAAAACAGCCTCCTTCCAAAAATGATTACACAATCTAAACCCACAGAGACAGAAACAGTGTAGG